GTTGTTTCTTTCACGATGTATACCTTGTCATATACAAATAAAATAAAGAAATGATGTTTACCTACTAAAAAAAAAAATATATATATATCCACTATTTTCTTCATTAGCTGAAAAGCTATAATTTATTGGTTGAAAAGGATAATATCGCTGTGTTCGATTTGTTTTGGCTATCGGTTTTTTGGGTTGATTGTTTATATTAAGATGAGATAACATATGCCCAATTTCATCTACTTTCTCCTCTAATCTAATAGAGTTATCTTTTTGCTGTGGACGAGATCTTTGAAAAGGTTTTTTAGGATAATTTGAATCTAAATCTTCATTACCATATATACCTAAATTATTAAAGAATTTAGCTAAATAATATTTTTCATAATCTTCTTCCGTTTTTAAATTTGATGGAGGAGCTCTTGGTTGTCTAACTGGTTCAACTGTTTGCAAAACTGGTGCCTGAGTTTTTTGCATTTTTTGGGATTGAAGTGGCGAAGCCCCATTGCTTTGCAATACTTCCTTTCTTAATTTTTCTATCTCAGTATTGTATTCAAATTTCTGTTTTGCTAATGCTTCATTAACCATTTTTTGTATATTAGGTGTTTGTGAAATTACCGGAGTTTTAATTATTTTAGGGTTATAGGAAGTTTGTTGATAAACTTTACCTTCATACGAATTTGGAGTACGTTCTAGCCACATATTTTTTAATTCAATGAAAAATGCATTAATACCACCTGGATTTGCAATTTTCATCCATGTATAAAGCTCACCCGGTAATTGGTTTTTAAGAAATCCTAATACTTGTTTATCATTATCTGCTATTCCTGTTAATAGTGGTCGAATTCTAGATTCATAAATATCGGGAGTATCATATATTTGAAATTTTTCTTGAACCAATTTTTGGATTGCAGATTGCTGACTTCCTATTGTTTCTCTTTGATATTTAGCATTTAAATATACTCGTAATGTAGCGGGTGTATTTATAGTAGGATTATTACGAGTAAAGGGATCATTAGCTGGTACTGGAGCAAATTTACCTCCTATTTTACTTTTTAAAACATCGCATTTAACAGCATCATTAAAATCTCCTGCATTTGCATTTTCAAGAGCCGTCATTTGAGGTACTGCAATAGACCACGCCTGTTCTAATGTATTTATATAATCATCAGGTGGCATTTGTCCTATATATTGTGGAATTGGTTGAAAAGATTGATATATCAATTTTAATACTGGTCGTCGTCTAGCCTCTGCCATATTTAATGGATTATTCTGTAGTAATAAAATTTGTAAATTTAAAATTATTTGTCGCTTATCCTTTGTTTTATTTTTCTATTTTACGTATCTATCAAATATTTGATCGCGGTTATATTCTAATATTCCATTTTCAGTACGATATATATTTAGTTGCCTTTTATATCGTTGTAACAATAAATGTAAAGAAAATCTATCCCGTTGTAAATTTATAGCATTTCTATGCTTATCTTTATAGGAATAGTACCAGCGATGTCGTTCTTTTATTTCATTGTTATATGCAGTAGTCATTAAATTAAGATCAGCTTCTGTTTTTCTTAATTCTATTTGCCGTACATTTCGTTCTGCTTCAGTATTGTATCTTCGTTGTTGAACATTTATAAGATCTGTTTGAAAATTGTTGTATTTGCGACGTATCAGTCGTGTTACTCTTTTTATTTGATTGGATAAAATTATTCTATTCGTTTCTGTATTATCCAAATAACCATCAATAGTATCGGCTAACTCAACTATTGTTGTCATATCTAGGTCAGATGTATAACTATCTTGAGAATTTTCATCCGATTCATATTCATTTTCTACGTTCCATATCTGAGCATTTTGTAGACCCGAAGGGTCATTGCTTTGCAATAAAATTTCTTGAGTCTTTATAAGTTCTACTCTATCTCGGTATCTTAATAATGTTAATGCAAAGTTTTGACAATGTAAATCTGTAATACGAGTTTTTTTCTGAGCTAATTTATTGTTTCGATCTCTAAGATTATATTTTAAAGTATCGATTTCACATTTGAGACGTTCATTCTCATCTATTAACTTTACCGTTTGGTTGTATGCTTTAGGAGTATTTCTAGCAGATTTGGATATTTCTCGAATTCGGGTTTTAAGTTTCTTTTCTCTTATATCAAATTCTGCTAGTTGAGCTTCTCTATTAAAAAGTTCTTTGTCTTTTTGCTCGATCTCTTTTTTGAGCTTATAGACAATCTTTTTTAGATCTGATATCTCTTTTTCTAATTCTTCTCTTTCTTGTATTGAAAGTTCAATTGTATTTGCTAACTCATCCTCGAGATAACGGATTCTTTTCTCACATAAAATTATATCCTGTTCAAGATTGTAAGTTCGGCGTTCATAGTCTCTGTTTGATTGAGCCAATTGACCAATTTCCTCATGGAGCTCCTGATTAGCTTGCCTTAATTTTTCCATGATTTTTTACTAACTATAATAAAAGTTATGATTGAAGAAACAAAGTTTCGAATCTCTGATTCACCTGTAATTTATATTGACTCAGAAAGAGCTCATGATCTTGATCGTGAAATTGTATTGCAAAAATTATATTACCGACCTGAAGGGTACTATCGAACTGTAGAAAAATTGCATAACACTTGTAAAAAGGCTGGTTATAATTTTTCATTAAACGATATAAAAGAATGGCTTGAAAAACAGATATTGTATTTGATTCATAAACCTCGACCACATTTTATTCAGTATGCATCTTTTAATAGTATACAAGACTTAAATGAAATGCATAAATCCGATCTTACTCCTATGCCTCATGATAAAATCGGAAATCGAATTTTCAAACATAGGGGCGTTATAAAAGATGTGACAACTAGATCCCATAAAAGTTGTGCTTTAACTAATAAGTCGTCTGCATCATTAGCTAAAATGTTTAAAGCAATTTATGGCGATTCTAATAATCATCTCACATGGCCAAAAGTTTTAATTGTAGATAAAGGCACTGAATACTTAGGTGAATGTAAAGATTTATTACTTAGTCATGATGTAAAAATTATACAAGCTAAATCTAAACGTAGTACATCAATAGCTGAACGAGATCACCAAGAATTTGAAAAAGATGCTTTCATTCGTCAATATGCCGTAGATTTTCATTTACCTTTGTCTGACAGGTCTAAAGCATGGGTTAAAGGTCTTTGTATTAATGATGACATTTATAATGATACTCCTACTCGTTTAATTCATATATCACCTAATGAAGCTGTAAAGAGGGCATTAAAAGGGGAAAAAATAATTGCCGATCCATCTGTAAAACATCGAAGACCTATTGGGTTTGATGAACCTCGGTTAACCTATAAAGATTCTGTTTTATATTTACTCGAACCTGGAGAATTAGAATTTGGCAATAGACGCATAACTGATATGAATTGGTCTCCCAAAGTTTATCGTATTAAGGAATCATTAATACAAAAAAATCAACCGGTATTATACTGGCTTATGGATGAAAATGGTAATGGACCCGAAAGATTATTCGTGAGAGAATAACTAATGAAAGTTGACAATGTTGAGTATCCACCAAAATAGATACTTAATAATAATTAGATTTCTAAACCGTGAATTCTTTGAAGAATATCATCTACTTCTTCCTTGGATCTTTTTTCTACAATCTCTTCTTGATTAGCTAATTCAAGATATAATTTATATAATTTTTCTAAACTTGTATATACCTCTTCATTATACCAATCTTTAAAATCTGCCATTCTTTCATTATAAGTTTCCTCATTTGGAACATGCTGTTTTGCTACATATCTAACATGATCTTCTGGATCTCTTTTTCATTGTAAAGTTTTAAGATAGTTCATATATGATGCTCCTAATTTGTCATATTTTTTAATACCTTGACTATATGTTACTTTAATCACTTCAACTAAAGCCGATTCGATGTCTTTATAATTTGGCATTTTGAATATTGTATTTTATTATATGTTACTTAATCAGATCTTTTGTTTAAATAAAAAATATTCCTTTTATCCATGGCCGGAAAATATACCTGTAATTATATACACAACTCTGGTAAAGTCTGTGGACGTGAATGTCGACATCCTGAAGGATATCATGAACATTGGAGGTCTAAAAAACGTGTCCCCTGCAAAGTTTGTGGTAAGTCAACTTCTTCTGCACCTGGAACATGTAAAATTCATGCTGGTGGGTTTTATGTTTTGCAGTTTTATTCTCGCCAGCTTAGCAAGAACACTAGTGGACATAAGTGATTACATTTTGATAGTATTTCGGACTTATGAAATGAGGAGGCTTCGCCTCTAGCATAATTGGATAACATTTTTTGATAGTATTTATATAATGTACTCGATTGTTTTGGATAATTATTTGGGCAGGTAACTTCAGATTTTCTATAGTAAAAATAAGGGTTATACATCCGCCTTCTTGCATATAACATAGACAGATAACATTTATGTAATACACTTGATATCATGTTCGATAACATTTACATGTTATATAACCCGATAGCTAAATTAGATAGCATTAATCGACTCACGAAGTGAGGAGGCTTCGCCTCTAGCATACATCTGCCTTCTTATATGTGTAGTCAAAGCTAACCCACTTTTTTCGCAACTTACAGCATTATAGATAGCATTTACATGATATACTTTATGGAGTAGGATGCAAAGTATCTAATGTATATATTGGTAGCATTAATCGGGCCCTTTAGAGGCGTCTCTTCAAGACATAGCATAACCAGCTATTGTGTATATAGCATAATCAGATTGCATACCCGATAGTAGGAATATAGCATATTCGATAGCAATTACGTGACATAGGTTGCATACATATTCGATAACATGCTATACAATGTATCCGATGGCATTTTTTGACAGCATAGCCCGATAGCATATACATGATAGCATTATCGGTAGCATTTACATGATATACTTAGCATACATATTTGGTAGAATACACAATAACATGTACATAGCAAGTTCAGATAACATGGATTTTAATAATTTTAGTGCTAAAAATCCGCAAACTAAAGGTGTAAAAATGACTGAAAATGTGTCATAAAAAACAAATACACGTCACTCGAGTGTGTCGAAAAAAGCAAAACGCTCGTCATACCCACCAAAAAAAACACCTTTTCTAAGAACAAAAATTGCTATGGATTTTAGTGATTTTAGCTTTAAAAACATGCAGACTGAAGGTGTATATTTCTTAAGTTTTAAATCGTTTCGCTCTGTCAAGGAAGCAAATTATATTTCTTAAGTTTTAAATCGCTTCGCTCTGTCAAGAAAACAAATTATAGTTCTTGGACTTCTAAAAGTTAAAAACTCGCAGACTAAAGGTATTAAAAAAGGATGAAATTGTGTTGTAAAACGAAAATCCTGCGTCATTCGAATGTGTTGAGAAAAAAAAATAAAAAAAAAAACATCCTTTTCTAAAACAAAATTGCTATTGAATTTAATATTTTTAGCACTAAAAAACCCGCAGACTGAAGGTGTAAAAAAAAACACCTCACCAAAAAAAAGTCTGCTGGGGCTCCCTGCTGCTCACATTGATTAGGTTTGTGCTGCCTTTTTTCTTTAACGGTAGCATTGCTACTCATGGGTTGCAACTCCATTGTTAACAATAATTGTGAAAAGTTATGTGGTTTATAGGTTGATAGTGTAGTTGAGATAATAGTGAGTCAGATATGGAGCCTGCTTCAATCTTGTTATGTCATTTTGATGCTTTTTTAGTTGAAGATTACTGGAACCTGTACAGGACATAGTCACACATTCTTTTAATCCAGTATGTGTTAGTCAATTGTAATTGTTGTTGTTATTGTTAGTGTGTGAGTATTTTGATAGAGAAATTGTTGTTAGGTGTGGGAATTTTTGATAAGAAACTAGTTATAAACAAGTTTATATAGGTTTGATGTTGTTATTTAAGGAGTGAAGATATTTTATTAGTCATTTGTTGAGTGTAGATCTTTGGATAAGATAAAACTGATTACAGTTTTTGAGTAGATTTGAGAATTGTAAAATAGTAAAAAAGTAATATGTGATATTGTTTTAAAATAAAAAAGAGAAATAATAAATTTTCAAAGGTTATATTAAGACAAACATTAGATCCAGTAACTTGGTTTAAATGTGTTGTTAGAATTGAGTTTGTATTGTAGAGAATGAAAGATAAGAGGGAAAACGGTTATTATGATTATAGAGAGGAAGGTACCTAAAAACAAAAAATTATGAAAGAAGACTGCCACGGGTCTTTTCCCATGCAACCAAGAGCTAAGGAAGACTTCCAACTTGCTTAGGTCTTGACCAGAGGTCCCATCCCAATGCAACAGTATTCCTTAAAGTCTTTATGTCATTTGGATTTAAAGCTTATTGCCTTAGAGAATAAAGAAAATAAGATGCTTCTTGAAAGAAGATTTCCTAAAAAGAAAATTTTCAAAAAATCAGCGGTGAACGGGCGAGAGTTTTTTTTTTATATTGCTGTATCTTATAAGTTGTTAAATTCAATTATACAATAAAAAACTAAACTCAACTTATTTTTATTAATTGATCAATACATTCACTTGTACCAATCAGATAACATCTAATAATCAAAATTAAAATAATTTAACAATCATCACAACTACATACAAAATCAAGTTGCATATGGTTTTACAAGTCAAGACAATATCTTCAAAATCTCAACAAATTTTAACTTAGTAGTTATATTGTTATACAGGTTCAAACTGCACTATCAAAATACTAACAATTTAATATTAGCAGTTTTATAGTTTCATGGATCCAGGTTGCATCTCCAAACTCCAATTTTATTTTATTTTAGACAATATCCATTCTTGTCACAAAAATTATTCTTTTATTGTTCTTTTTAGCCATCAAATTGCCTTTTTTACATTTATTCCAGTTATATAAATTATCTTTTCACTATTTACACTAGTTACAAATTTTATTTTTTTAACATTTACAATAGTCATATAAATAATTTCTCCAATGTCCATAATAACATAGCTATTTATAGACAGACATAAGTTATCCATAAACCATTTCTACTGTGATATTACTTATATAGCATAATATTGTTTTAAAAGTTTATATGTAATAGACTAATATTAACTTAAATAGATATTTAATGCATTGATTAGATTTTTAGTAATTAATAAAATTATATTTTATACTTGTTTGTAATAAAAAAAACAATATATTAAAACAGATAGTGATAAAAGATATAAGCTAAATTATAACAGTCTACTATAAGCAATCTTGAAATAGTACTATAACTAAGCAGATTATAAATTAGATTATATCAAGAAAATTAAACTATGTTATATTCTTAAGCTTATTTTAATATATCTGATTTGTAATTTAATAAATAAAAATAAATAAGAAAGCTATACTAATATTAAATATTAACTTATTATAAAAAATTATATATATTTTCTTTTTCTTAATAACTTTATTCTTGTGTTTTAAATATTTTAAATATTTTAAATAAAAAATATATAATAGTTTCTAAAGTTCTATTAATTTTGTTTCTTTTTTTTTATATTATAAAAGTTTTTATTCAAATGGTTTTTAAACTATATAAAATGTTAAAAAAATATATTAAATAAAAATAAAGAATTCAATTAAGTAAAAAGTATCTCTTTTAAATTTTTATTATTAAACTAAAGTGATAGTTAAGTGAATTCTGATTTTAATAAGCAATAGACTTACTGATTCTCTGTCACAATGTCAATACCATATAATTAATTATATAAATTATATATACAAAATATTTTTATCTTTAGTAGAGCTATAAAATTTATTTTTGCTAAGAATATAGTTAGATCAAAAATTTTAATTTATCTTCAAAAGCAATTGTTATATATATATATATATTGTCTTTCAAAAAAAATAAAATACCTAATTGTCAATCTTTAATATTCAAAATTCAATCAGTTCAGATCAAATTACAATAAAATAAATATTATATACAATATATAATCTAATCTATTTGATATATACAATAGAATAGTGATTAAAATACCAAGGTATGGACTTACCTACTTGGTGTAAAAAGTTGACATTCTGGTAAAAAGAAGCAGGTAGCTCGAGTTAATATTAGCAGTATGTTAATAGACTATTTATACATAGACAATTGTAATCTTAAGTGATCTCACAATAAAGTACATGCGTATATCGCAACTTGGCTCCTTAAAAAAAAAAAAAAAAAAAAAAAAAAAAAAGAATAGTGATTAAAATAATAATAAAAATTTATGATGCAATTAATAAAAATTTACTGTTATGTGACTGGATATTTTTTGTAAAAATATAAAAGCAAAAATTTATTTAAATCTTATATAAATCAAATGTTCTTAAGACAGCTATTTATAAATAAGAAAGTAAATACTATTATCTTATTAGAAGAAGGTTATAGTTTATGTCAGATTGCTGTTAAAATTAATAACAATGTTTATTATTTCACTATATCTAAACTTAAAAAAATATCTTGAAACAAACAAATTAGAAAATAAACATATTTCTAGTTGTATATCTAAATTTACTCTACATAATAAATATATTATTATTATAAAATTCTAAAAGAAGAAGGCAAAACAGTTATTAATATATATAGATACATGAAAAATATATATAAAATAAATATTAATATTAATACATTTTAAAGAATTCTTAAAAAAAGTGAATTTAAAGCTTATACATAATGCAAGAAGTTTTTTTTAAGTAAAAAACAAAAAAATCTGATTAGAATTCGCAAAATTACATAAAAATTAGACTATAAAAGATTTGAGTCTGGTGGTCTGGTTTGATAAAACTAAATTTCAACTTTTGAAGTTGAAGAATTCAAATATTGCTGGAAAAAATTTCCTGAATCTTTAAAAAATAAGCATATAATTCTTATAACTAATAATATTAATATATGGTGATGTTTTAATTATTACAGTATAGAATATTTT